TTTCCATCTCTGTGAGTTGCCTTAGTGGACTTAAATAGTTTTTAGAATTTGAAGATTGAATATTTTAGCAATAAGTTGCAAAATCGATAAAAAGTTACAACCAATTTCCTAGGTTTTCAGAATTTTCTAGGATTGTAAGGAATCTAGCAGACTTTAAAGAAATTAAATGTGACTTAATAATGGTGTAGATATTTGTTATTAGTTTAGTGACATGTTTCTCTTTGGAAAGATAAACTAAGTTTTGATTATTTCTCCTTAGGGCCATGTTTTAGGCCTCAAGTATCTATAACACATTATCCCTTAAATTAGTAAAATGATGTCCTCTAAGGTGGAGGTTGCAAACTGTTCTTCTAAGGGCCAGAAAGAAAATATTTTACGCATTACAGACCATGTGGTCTCTGTCACCATCACTCAACTCTGCTGTTGTAGCAAAGCAAGTCATGAACTAGTGAGCACAACTGGGTTCCAGCAAACATTGTTTATATAAGTAAGTAGTAAGTATGAAACTGCATTTGCACCTGGGTTATAACTGACTGACCTGTGCCCTAAGGGCTGAATGGAAGTTGTGGAAACCATGAATGACTCAGAAAAATCAGGAATTACAGCTGAATGGCAGAGTATACATGGCTCTTCCTTCCATGATGGTTCTAGAACCATCACAGACTCTATAATGACAAATTGTTTTGCCTGCATAAGTTCTGCTACAAAAAAACTCAATGAAGATAAGATTTTTAAATCTGGGATAAAGTGGGCTTTACGAGCGGATTTGGGTTCGGTGGGTTTGTGGACAATTGGTGAAGCACTGTGACTCCCCCAGCTGCAGCAGATAAAGGGTAACTTAGAGAAATTAGAAAGCCTAGACAGTATTGAAAGCAAGCATTATTATTCAATTTTTGTCCAATCTTTCACAACTATATATGGTAATATGAGCACCAGAGCTGATGATAAAATAGGTAATATAACAACCATTGTTAATTTTCTGTTCTTGATTTGAAAATCTATAACATACATATTGTCGTATGTTACCCTGTTTCTGTCTTTGCATCCGTTATTTGTTTTGATTTTTTTTATACTCTTCGAAGTAAAATAAAATAAACCCTAGATGAATGTGGAAATAAAAACATCCTCTGTGGGCACCAAACCCATTTCAAATTGTGGCCACTGTTGTCTCCACAAGTAAGCAAAGTTTTAGTTGACAAGGGATAAACTAAACTAAAACCATTAAGTTAGGTTATGACTGGGTTCATCACTAGCATGAGAAGACATGACCCTTTTTATCTACTACTTTTCTATGACATACATTTCACAGGCAAAATTGAATATTTTATGTCATAATTTAATGGGTAATCTAGGTTAAGAATCCTTAACCTAGAGCTGGTGAGATAGCTCAGTGGACTAAGTGCCTGCTTAGGCAAGCACAGGGACTAGGGTTCGATCCCTGGCTCCACAGGCTGAACTGGCCCCACTCCCACGTGCACTGAGCCTGCCACTGAGTCAGGGCATGTAGTCTGACTCCTAATTCCAGTGCTCTGGAGGCTGAAAACAGGAGAATCAGTATGAGTCTGAGCTGCATAGTGGGACCTGTACCAAATACATTTTTTAAAAAAAGAATCCTTAATCTAAAACTCTGAAATCTGAAACACTCCAAAATTCAAAGCTAGGTTTCGACGGGCCACCACAGATGGAGGGTTCCCCACCTTGAATTTTCTTGCAAACTCAAGTCTATTAAAAACATGGCCTGGAGTGACATTTACGTCACATGAACACAGTGTACGGAAAGAGATATTTAGACTGGGCTTCAATCTCATTGTGTATATGCAAATATTGCAGAATCTGAAAAAAATCAGAAAATAAAAAGCCCTTCTGGTCCCAAGCATTTCAATAAAGAATATTCCAAACGTATGAGAAACTAGTGATTTTCTTAGTTCTTTCAATATTCCCAACCAAAGTGCATGGACAATGTGGACATAAAACGTCACTCAGACACACTCTCCTAGTTCTTTGTTACTCTCAGAGGTAATTCATTTCACACTTCCTTTCACCCTTCTTTTTCTAAAAGAAAATCTATCATTGCATAAGATTTTCTGTCTTAAAGTTTATTTTTACTGAACTTGTGTTTCTTTAGGGCCATACATTCCCAATACAGATCAGTAGTGAGTGGCATCAGCTGCTGGGAGCACTGTGGTAATTGAATTACAGGTCCCATCTATCTGACAAGACTGCATTTAATATGCCTTCGCTTCAACAGCAGTGGTCTCAGAGAGCAGCATGGCCCCTGGGGAAAGGAGCAATGTCACTCCTGAGCCAGAGCATGTGCAAAGAAGAAGGTTAGGCAGGGAAGAGGAAGACACAGGTTTCTCTGGAGTAAAAAAATATACTCTTTTTTATATATTTGGTATAGGTCTCACTACACAGCTCAGACTCATAGTGATCTTCCTGTTTTCAGCCTCCCCAGTGCTGGGATTACAGGGATGTGCCATCACGCCTGGTCTCAGTGGCTGGCTCAGCATGTCTGGGGATGGGGCCAGTGCATCCTGTGGTGCTGGGGATCAAACCCCAGTCCCTGCACTTGCCTAAGCAGGCACTTAGTCTGCTGAGTTGTCTCGCTGTCCCATCATGCTCTTGTAGGCTGGACTTACATAAGGACTTGTTGGAGGCCAAGCCCTTCCAAGAGGATTGCTTAGCTAGTGTGCCACATTGGTGGGAAACTGTGGCCAAGTCTTCACTGGATTTGTGATGAGTTTATGTGACATTCATCCTAAATGGTGATTAACTGATACCTCTCATGCGTAGCAAAGCATTGGGTTCCAATCTATCGCCCTGGTTTGTACTGTGTAAATCACTACCTCCATTAAAATTATGTCTCCTTTCAGAATTATACAGAAGTAACTCACACAACCATTTCTTTAGGAAGTTCTGTCTCTGGCAATATGCCTACCATATGGGGTCTTTCATCACTAGCATGAGAAGACATGACCCTTTTTATCTACTACTTTTCTATGACATACATTTCACAGGCAAAATTGAATATTTTATGTCATAATTTAATGGGTAATCTAGGTTAAGAATCCTTAACCTAGAGCTGGTGAGATAGCTCAGTGGACTAAGTGCCTGCTTAGGCAAGCACAGGGACTAGGGTTCGATCCCTGGCTCCAAAGGCTGAACTGGCCCCACTCCCACGTGCCTACCATATGGGGTCTTTCAAAGACCTATGGTTTTTAAAATCTTTCAAAGTTTGTACCATTAGAAAGATTAAAATGTAGCACTGTTTGTGAATGCTGTATGTCTTATATAAAATAATTAAAACAAATAAGCTTTACTTTTGAATATTCTTTTGCTTGCAATCTAAATATCTTGCAGACATATCTGCTTTTTCCCCAAGTCAAGAGGCATTTTGTTTTATACCTTGGAAAAATTTGTTAATGAGAATTTGCTCATTTATTTTATTTTATTATTATCTTTTGGAGGCAGGGTTTTTCTGTGCAATTCAGACTGGCCTTGAGCTCACTTTGTAGCCCAGGCTGGCCTTGAACTCACAGGCATCCTCCTTCTTCTGCCTTCCTAGTGCTGGGATTACGGGTATCTACCATCACCACACCTGTCTTGCTAAAGTTTAAATCACTATAAATTTGGCTTTTCCTACAAAGTAAACTGTTAAATGAAAACCCTGTTAAAAAGTTAAAGAATACTGTGAGACTGCCTTATATATATAGTTGGAAACCCACTGATAGAATTTAGTTTTGAAGTTAACACCATGGAATAAGAATTGGGTCCAAAATGGCAGTTACAAAGATTCACTCGGAGATAGTTTATCTAAGCCTGAAAATCTAATTAAAAGCTTTTATTAAAATATCAGTTAAAATTTTCCGAGTATTATATGTGAGATAAAATACTAACACAGCATTGGCATTTGTTACTTTGTGTCTCTGTGACATATGTGGTGTTACTAGCCTTATTGATGAAGATAAAGAGAAGAAAAGGGGGATTTATAAAGTTCAGGAATGTGCTAGAAATTGCAAGGGTATGTGGTAGGAGAGTCAGTTTGCCAACCCAAGTCATTTGCTAGTGAAGCCTGAAGTCTTAACTATTGATACTAAAAACAAACACATGTTCAGGTTAAATATATAAATGGGGAACCCATTAGTATCACCCTACTAAACTACCATCATTACCATAAAAAAGAAAATGCTACTGTTAAAACAAATAATGAAAATGTGTTTAAACCAAAAGCATTTGCCTTATGGTTCTCAAAGCTATAGTATTTCTAACTCATAAAACAACGTTAATGTTTTAGAGGATAAAATTTGAGGAATTGATACCCCAACTATCTTATTAGGTATGCAGCCAAATCAGCATTCATGCATCTCATTGGGAATCAATGTGACGCTGAGTACCATGCTTGGAATACAGTTTGTCTCCTCCAAAATGTGCACTGAAATTGAATCCGGACCTCGAGTCATGAGGAAAGTAGCTGCTGAGTCTGACGCTGGTGTTTAGAGGTGGGAGCTTTGGAGGCTGAGCATGGTTAGGGCAGATCGTCAAGGTAGGGCCTCCTTGACACGATCATGGTGACTTTAACAAACAGGGAGGCCAGGACTCACGCATCCCACCTCTCACTTCCGATCCCCTGCTCTGCCTGGGGCCGTTGCCAGATGCAGACCTTTTACTTTCGATCAGAACCATGACCTATACTATACCTGTTTTTTTGTTGTTTTTTTTCATAAATTACCTAGGCTGTGGTACATGGTATTAGCCGCAGAAAACAGGATATGCTACCGAGCAATGAACATCTCTGGCTTGTTGTCCTTTTTGCTTTTTGTAGAATGCCAAATTTGAGCCTGGAAGAAAATGAACCGCTGTCTTGCCGTTGGGAGCAGCGATGAATTCAAACTTAAGTTCTATCTTTTCAAGCCTAATGCAGTGACTCTCTCCTTCAGTCACCAAACAACAAAGTGGAAACAAAAGTGACTTGTGGAATCCACCCTTCTTTTCTCTCTTAGGACGCTACCCGCAGGCGAACAAGGGGACCTACATTCCAGTGCCTATCGTCTCCGAGCTGCAGAGTGGAAAGTGGGGGGCCAAGATTATCATGAATGAGGACAGGTCTGTTCGGCTGTCCATCCAGCCTTCCGCCGAATGCATTGTGGGGAAATTCCGCATGTACGTGGCCGTCTGGACCCCCTACGGCATCCTCCGCACCCGCAGGAACCCGGAAACAGACACCTACATTCTCTTCAACCCTTGGTGTGAAGGTAAGGGACAAGTTTTAGTTTGCTCGTGAGAAGTATTCACCTACTCTGATGAACCTCTTTTGGGGGGCGGTAGTGACCCTTTCCATCATACAGCGGTTTGTATCATTAAAAGAAAGAAAAAGACAAAACTTGTCCTCAATGTGTAGACCAAGAAAACCTGTATGTGTGGTCATAATGCTGCTACACGCGCCTTCCAAGCATCCATTGAAGATTGCTTAAGGTTGCGCAGTTAACGAGTTGTGGAGCTACGAGTGGATGGTGTAGTCTCCTCGTGCTGCTGCGCTATAAACACAGTGGGCTTATTAACTTTTTAAAACTAACGCAATCCATGACTCTGACTCCAAGGAGGGAGGGGAAAGCATAAAAGCAACCATTTCCGTAGTGGAACTTCTCCATCTTCTTAAATCAAAAGCAGAGTCTAAAGTATTCCGCAGACGTGTTTATATGCACAGTGTGTGCACACTGCTCAAATCAAAACCCTGAATACACAAACATATGACTGTATTTTAATATAGTACAACTTAATCTCTAATGCTATTTTGAGTCCTCCTTTCTGCCGGCTGCAGAAGCTTAACCTAGTTATATTCAAATAAACTCAGCTGAGCTCAACCATTTCTCTATCAATTCAATTTAACCGTTCAGTAGCACACAGGCGTCTCCCCTGCCCCCTGCTGCGCTTCTCCCTGTCTGTTCCCAGCGCTTGGGAAGGGGAGGCAGATGTAGCACTGATGAAGGAGGCCCACTTCCTAGGTTTTGGGTACGAAAACAATGCCTTTTCTGCAAATTGAGAGCAGGAGGCTTCTCATGTTGTGCTATCCGTAGGCACTGCAGTTTCATATTTTCCAAGAATGGGTCTATTGTTGCTGATTTTGAATGGCTTGTATATAAGAAAATTATGTTTGGATGAGGATTGATCTGAACTAAATATAGGTTGTAAGTGGGCAGCAATATTTTCCACTCATACAGAACATCAACCTGGGTACTTCTGTCTGTTTCTTTGAATTAACAGCTCCAGCAGTGTGACACCAAGCTAATCCCATATTCTTCACACACACATTTTTATGATCTCATTCTGAACACTTTGTTTTGGTTTGGTTTGGTTTTTGAAGACAAAATCTCACTATATAGTTCAAGCTGGTCTTGAACTCACTACATATCTCAGACTGGTCTTAAACTTGTGGCACTTCCCTTGTCTCAGTCCCCCAAGTGCTAAAATTGCAGGCATGTGCCACAATGCCTGACAGTTTTTGAATACTTCAGTTTATCCATAAGACTGAAACTCAAGGTTGATGCTAGCAGGAGATGCTAACTAGGCCATATGCAGTTCAAAAGTGAACTCCTATTTATAGCAATCTCATCAATCAGATGTAAAGCAATTTGTAGCTGGTTGAAGGGGTGCTATGTATAGAGATGGTCAGAGCTAATTATAGCTATCTGTGAAAAAATGTTAACTAGATATATGAATCAGAGACGTGAATTTGGGAGTTCGCTGCACCTAAGGAGGAGATAGAGGTAAGACAGGAACTAAGGAGCCGGCCAGATAGCTCAGTGGATTGAAGTGCCTGCTTAGGCAGATGCAGTGACCAGGTTCAAACCCCGGCATGTTGTGCCAACCCCACCCCTGGGGAGCACTGAGATGGCTACTGAGACTGGGCATCGTGGCGCACACCTGCAATCCCAGTACTTGGGAGACTGAAAACAGGAAGATCACTATGAGTCCAATCTATGTAGTGAGAACCTGTATACCCTGTACTAAATACATGTGCTAAATATATTTAAAAAACAAAAAAGATTTCCTTTAAAAGACAGGAACTAAGATGTAGTGTCAGACACTCAGGAGCACCGGTATTTAGGAGTCCAGTAGAGAAACTGGCAAAAGAGATAGTCTCGACCACTTTTCTTATCACTAGGCCGAAATACCTGACAGACACAACTGAAGGAAAGATTTATTTGGGCTCAGTGTTTGGAGCATGTCTGGGTGGTTCCCAGACAGCACAGCGTGGCAGAAGTTCTGGCAGAGAGAGCCGCTCATACCCTGGCAGTCAGGGGGCAGACAGCGCAGGGGAAGCTGAGGAGGAAGGCAAATCCTTCCAGGTCACCCGCCTCCCCAGGGCTTGGCTCTTCTCACCAGAGCCTGCTTCCTAACAAGATGCCAGCTACAGCATTCCATTGTCCAGTCCTCCTTCAAAAGCCCTGCCTATGAGCACGTGAGCTCCTAACAGGTCATTCTCAAGGTCAATTCTAACAGAGGCAGAGATGGAGACAAATGTAGGAAATGGCCTTTCCTAAGAAAATTGTACTTGTTAAAAATCCATACTTATGAAGATAAAGAAATCAGGAGTTTGTTACTGACTTAAAAAGTGAAAGTTACAGGCTCCATGTAACTATCTAGCACTCCGGGGTGTTTAAGGAATGATATGATTGAGCCCAAATTTTAGTTTCTTCACAGATTTTCTGAATTGTGTCATTTTCCTAAAATGCATTTCTACTTATGTGGTGATGCCTCTTGTGAGGAATATGTTTTTTCTCATACTGGACGTACAGAAGGGTCAGTCAAGTCTAATAATATTTAATAAGATGTGAAAACCTAATAGCTCCCATGGCCTGGAGTTGCACCTATGGCAAGTAACTCCCAGGACTTCTGCTTAGAAAGTTGCTTAGACCAGAAATAATGCAATCTCTGGCCACCAAACTATTACAGTAGAAGGGCCTCTCCTGTGTGTCATTGCACGGAAGAAGGATTGAAGGAAAGTGGAATTAAAACCAAGCAAGAGACCAAGTTTGAAGCTAGGCTCCAACACAAAGACCATGACAGCCTGGATTATACTGTGGCCACCGGTGGATGGGGTGGACGGTAGAGCTATTTTGGACGTAGGATAGAAATTGCAGAAGGGCTGAAGATGATAGTAAGTAAGAGAGGAAATAAGGATAACTCTCCATGTCTGTTTTGACCAACCAAGCTGACGGTGGTGACATTTTCAAACCTGGGAAGGCAAGGCCATGAAGGGATAATCTAAGAATGAAACTAAAAGATACACAAATAATTGTAAATCCAGGCATAAGTCTGAGACGTCTGAGTGAAGATGCCTAAAAGACACTTGTACAAGTGAGTATAAAGCCCAAGGGAGGTGGCTGAGATATAGCTATGAACATGGGTCCTATCAAGCACAAGAAGGAACAAAAATGAGTTTATGATAGCCAGAAATTACTGTTGAGACAAAGAGATGGCAGCACAGGAGGCTGAGGAGGAGCAGCCACTGGGTACAAGGATATCAAATTGTAGAAACATGAGGATTCTTTCGTTGGAGAAAACAGTGATTGATTCTGTGGAGTTGGATAGGAAAGAAAGTGACCATGCTTTAGGGAAACATGGGCATCCTTGGCAATCTTGGAAAGGACTGTTTTACCAAAGCTGAGGCACAGAATCCAGGGAGATGGGCATGGCCCATAGTATAAGTGACAGTGGACAGTGTAGGTGGCAGCTATCACCAGTTTCTCTAAGATGGCATTCAGTAGAAGACATTCTCTTTTAAAGACAGGAGAGGGTGAGTGTGGGTCTATGAAGATGGGAATGAACCAGGAAGCAGAAATTTACTGTCCATAGAAAGGGCAGAAGCTAACAGCCTTGGCTGAACATTGCAATGGTCTAAGGAGTGTTATACCCACCTGTATTCTGTATGCTTCTACACACACACACACACACACACACACACACACACACACACACACCCCTTCTGTTGTAATTGGTGATTTGGTGATCTGGTAGAGCTCCAGTTTCAGGGATTTTCCAAAGTTTCACAGGGGGTTCTTAAGGCTGGGTTTTAGGAATGAAATCCTAGAATGGTTGGGGTCCAGAAAACAGGTGAAAGGCCCACAAAAGATCTCCTACCCACCTGAGCTGAGAAAGAAACACAGCAGGAAAGGTAGTAAAATAAAATTCCTAGATTTGGTGAAAGAAGGATGAATTTGTTGCTGCTTTGTGATTGTCCTTCCTCTGTGCAAGGTCTTATGCTGAAAGCAAACAGAAATCAGAGAGTGTGGGAAGCTTGATGGAGAAGACAGGAAATAGTTACGTGGCGAGTGCAAGGCAAACTGACAGAAGCACGGCAGGTGGCCCTCTCAGCTCTGCAGAGCACAGGGAAAGTGGCCATAAGTCCCTCAGTCCATTGGTCTGTGGAAGTCTTGAGTATTTCTGCAAATTTCTGGGTGTCCCAGTTACTTATCTCTCATTGCTGGGACAAAATACCCAACACCCAAACTTAAGGAAGGAAAGTTTATTTAGCTCACAGTTAGTGGAGGTTTCAGTCCATACTCAGCTGGCTCCAAGGCAGAGCAGCACATGGTAGCAGAAAACAGCAGACAGCAAAGGCAAAAGGGAGGAGCAGCAGCAGCTGTGTCAGAGGCAACCCTCTCTCCTTTCCTTCTATTGCCTTTAGGCCATCCGCCCCAGGGTGGGTGTTTCACTCACACCCATAATCCCAGCAGTACTCTACCCATAATCCCAGCCTTAAATAATGAATTAATCACAAACTCCGGAACTCCACCCCAGTGGCTGCAAGAGGCTTTGGGGAGACAACTACACACAAACCATAACACTGAGTATCTCTGTCTTTGTAGCTATAGGATTGTTTTTATCTCCCCCACTACTTACCTTGTGATGCCCCAAGTGAGAAATTCAAAGCTTCTTCAATTTCAGTATCATCTTCAACAAGTACAAAAGAAACAAAACAAAACAAAAATCTATGGATGTCTCTGGACTTTATTGCAATTCAGCATGGAGAGTAGGAGGAGGGAAGATTGTCCCCATGGTTCTCAAACCCAGAGGACTTCAGAATGATCAGTAGTGCCCATTAGGACAGATTTCTGTGAGCAGGTCTGAAGTGAGAGCTGAGAATCTGGATCTCTAACCAGCCCCTATGATATGCTGATGCCACCAGGTAGGACCCCCCCTTCGAGAACCATTGGTTTGCAGAAGAATCTCAAAACAATAATGATAAAAC